AAAAAAAAATGAGAGTGAATGAACAGAAAACAAACAAAGAGAATAAACTCTATCAGTATATTAATATAAATATATCTGAAAAACAATCATTTTAAGATTGTGCTTGAGCCATAGTCGATTCATTATTTTGCTGCTGTTGCTGGTGCTGCTGCTGTTGTTGTTGTTTTGTCGTTGAATTATTGGTTGTAGAATTTAGTCGTGAACGATGAGGATTTATTGATGATGATGTCATCTGAGATTGTTTACGTTGAGCTGCTAATGTCGCTTCAATAGCGCTGAAACGTCTAAATGCTTCGTTGATTAAATTTAGAGATTGTAATCGAGTTGGTACAGATAATGGCTGTGTAAAATCATTTGGTAGTGTAGCTGAATAACCATTTGGACTGTTTATATTTGTTGGTAGTTGCTGTTCTGTAGATGAAGATGGCGAACCAGGCACAACAATACGAGTAAAATCTGTTGCAGAAGATAGAGAAGGAGGTTTGGGTGTTGAAGGAGAGGAAATTCCATTTATATGACCATGTAAAGACGATGGAGCTTTATAATGACCATTGGCTAAGCCTAGAAAAATTTAGAATATGAGTATATTTTTTCTAGCTAATCAATCATAAAAAGTAATTAACTTCGATTATACGTTTTTACGCTGAATAATTCATCGATAAGATTGTTATTATCGTGATTGGAATATTAATCTTTATTTTCGTGATTTAATAAAATTATTTACCTTGTCGAAGAGTTGAATCATGTACTGGTGTTGCCCCAGAAGCTGCTGCTTCGGATAAAATACTTTTCATTCGACTACTATTTACAATTGGCGTTCCTTTCGTAGATGTATTCGTTGCACTGAGAGCTTTTTCTGTGTTTGTTTTATGTAATACATCAAGTTCTTCACGTAAATCTCGAGTTTCATCACGTAATCTTTGGACCGTTTCGGTTAACTACAAAATAAAAAAAATTCAAATGAAAATTTTTATTTTGTAATTTACAAACCTGTTGTTTTTCATCAAGTTCATTTTCTAATAAAGCGTTTTGTTCTAATGCACGATTAAGTTGCGTTTCAAACGTTGATAAACTATCTAACAATGTTCGTTTACCTAATAGATAAAATACATTAAATAGTTGAGTTTTTTTGTAAATATATGATAGATAGTGATTATATCTTACTTCGTTCAAGATCGTCATTAGTTTGTTCTAATTCCCTAATATACGTTGTTAGTTTTTCATTTAAATTTTTACAAGCATTTAATTCTTCTTGTAATTGATCGAAACGTTTATCGAACTGTTTTATAGTTTGTTCACTACGTTCACGATATTGTTCATTTTGTGTACGTTCAACAAATAGTTCTTGTTGTAATCGATGTGTTTGACTATCTAATTGTTTTAATTGTACTTCTAATTCTTGTTCATAATTTAATGATGATTGTTGATATTCATCAAATTCATTTTCGATACGTTCAAAACGTGTTCGATATTCAATATAACGTTCTAAGGCTTCTTCATATGTACTTGGTTCATTATCATTTGCCATTTAAAATTTGATTTTCTAGAATAGAAAAAAAAGCAGTTAGTTGCTTATACGTATGTTATTTATGTTTTTTTATCTTTTTTTGTTTCACTCATGCTGGATTTAGAAGAAATAAACAGTTAAAATAATATATGATAACACGAACAAAGACAATATATAATCTAGACATACATCAATAAGTCAAAATACAGATAGAAGGATAAAGTCAAGCGACAAGACGAAAGAAGAAGAAAAAAAAATGTATCATGCTGGAAAGAATTTTTTAATGATGTTGATCAGTTGTTGGTGTTGTTGGTGGCTTGATTCGAAAACAATGAATATCTAAGAAATCGCAAAGTTCTTGACAGACTTTAATATTGTATCGAAGAAGATCATATAAACTGTAAAGCTAAATAACAGAAAAAAAAGCATATGTAGATATAATCAAACTTGTCTTTTATTAAATACACTTGCACTCTTTTTGATGTAAGAAATACTCGTTTTACAAGGGAACCACCCGAGGTGTTAAAAAGCCTAAAAGGGTATGTGCCCAAGTTGGTGTCTGACTGAGATATCGGCTATTTAGTGTATTTGTCCTATTGGATCCTATCTGTGCGGTGAAATCAAAATTTCGAATTTAGGCCTAAAACTTTGTCCATACTAAGACCTCAAACAGACAAGCTTGCTTACAAAGTTTCAGAAATTTTAGGCAGATTAACTCCGAGATATGAATCCGTCAAAATATTCATGTGAAACCTAATATCCATAAGAAAGCGTCTCTATGCTAACATACTTGTATCTCGGAGATAATCTGTCTAAAATTTCTGAAACTTTATAAACAAACTTGTCTGGTTAAGGTCTTGGTATGGATACAATTCCAGGTCTAGCTTCGAAATTTTGATTTTATTGTACAGATAGGATGCTATAGAACAAATACATTAAATAGCCGATATCTCAGGCACATATCGTTTTAGGCTTTTTCTAGTCTATGCATCCCCTACTTGTGGACAAAGTTTTAGCTCAAAAGCTTTTTGACATCTCGGATGGTTCCCTCGTTAGATAGCTCAGTTTTTAAATTTTCATAAGAGAAATAAGTTAGTTTAGTGTTAAAGAATTATAAATAGTTGACACTTATTGATTGCTCTTATAATATAGATAACTACTAAATTTTCATTGACATCTAATTATGCTTGAAAATATATAAAAAGACGTTCTTTTTATATTAGAAATAAAAGTATTTCCGTTTGAAATGTCAAAAGTATATTGACAACTACAACACACACACATGTGAGAAATAAAACTATACCGTAGGAAAATCTTAAGTAAAAACTTACTAGAAAAAACCAAAGAAAAACATGTTCACTAATCAATAAATTAAAATATTGATTGATACAAACAGCCAATGGTCCAACATAAGATGAATCCCATGCATTAAGTGGACTTCTTGACATATGTGCTACCTATTTAATATGAAGAATAAATCAATTAAAATTTATTAATATAAAAAAATACAAACAATTAAACGATTTGTAATTTTTGAAAAGACAAGACCATAACAAAGTAAATGAAGAGATGTATGTTCTTCGAGTACATGCGATGTTGAATAATTGGAAGCAACAGTAGCAAGAAAACATAAAATTCCAATTGGCCAAGCTGGAAAAATAATACTTGTACCCTTGAAAGAAAAAAAAAGAATAGGAATAAATTTCATCAATATTAAATTAATATTCTTACAGCTACAGATGAAAAATTACGTCCACAACCACCTTGTGAAACTAAACGAAGATTATTAAATGAACTCCATGCTGTAGAACCAATCATTAATAGAGCAACTAATATACGAAATTCAATTTGTAAATAAGGTATCTTGAAAATAAATCAATCAGTCAATTGTATGTTATGAATTATTTTATTTATTTACCGATTTAGACCAGAATGCTGCTGATACTGTACTTATCATATAAATACCAATAAATGAAAATTGTGCTTCAGTACAATCAAGTCTAATAAAGAACAAAAAATATTCATTTATATTAATGATAAATATTGAAACTTACTTTCCAAATTTAAGTTTGCCCGAAACATAAGTTTGCCAATGAGCAGCATAAAAGGCAAAAAATGAACACATACACGCAAGAAACATAAGCCATGGATAAACACCAAGTTGACAAGCACAACAACACGCAATTGTAACAAATACTAAAATTAACATTAAAGAAAAACATTTCGGACATAAAAAAAAGATTTCATACCAGCTGATACTGAATCACAACCATGATCAAAAAGTTCTCCTAATGGAGACTGGGAATTCGTTCGACGTGCTTGTTTACCATCAATCGCATCAAGAGATTGATAGAGAAAAAGACCCAACGCCGTTAAAAAATATATCCATCGCGAACACTATGATATAAATACATTCAAAATTAATAATAATTTTCATAAATAAAACAAAACTACCTGTTCTTTGGCACCATTTGTTTCTATCATAAGTAAAACACTTGTACCAATATTTAATGCTAATCCAACAATAGTTATAAGATTTGGTGCAGCCCATAATGGACAAAATTCAACAAGCCATTTCCAAAATTCTTGCATAAATGGATCAAATAATGTTATACCTTCGGATGCATATTTATGTTCTTTTAAACGTTTTAATTGTTGTTCAGTAAGAACAATCGGCATACGTCGAACAGCTTCTTTTGCATCAGTTTTTAATTTTTCAGTTTTTTCTTTAAGTTGTCGAACATTATTACGTAATAATGCCGATGGACTTTTGTCTAAATTTGGATTAGACGTAGCCATTTATTATATCTAGAAAGATTTTTTTATACTTGAAAACTGCATTGAAAGGAATGTCACCTGTTAGACAAAAAAAAACAACTGGTCGAACCTTCTTTTATCGAAATAGTATGAATGACTCATCACATATTTTTAACAAAGACTAACAGCATACTGATAGTGCTGATAAATATGAAAAACAGAAACACACACACACAAGAATATAAGAAGTCTTACACTCAAATAGGCAAACACATCAAAAGAACGAAAGAAAAAAAATGACTCTCTCATATATCTTCTCTCAAGGTTAATCATCACCTATGTAAGAAATAGATGTCGAATACCTGAGTAATTTTTTTTGATCAAAAACACACACACACGCAAATCAACTAAGTTCATTAATACTTATATAAAACTGTTTCGATATATATATATTTTGTATCAGAAAGGAAAATTATAGTTTTCATTGGGAAGAGGAAATCAGCAAAAAACTTCAGTTATTTTTTTTGTAACTTAACCAATATAGCTAAAATACATATCACATTTCATTTGACTCTAAATTATTTTCAATGTAATGTTCGTTTTATCAGACATTGGACAAATTCATTGAAATATTTGCTGATCGTCTTAATCTTAGTGGAATTAATTCAGTAAAATCTTCTATTGTATAAATACGTGTCCAATCAAGATTTGTTGGTGTATAACAAAGTATACGTCGATTCATTAAATCAACTAAATTTTGTATCACTCCAAATGAAAATGGACTTTTAGCATTTGATTGAAAATATTTATATTTCCAAGAATTAATTCGCTCATTGGTTGTAAAACCTGCTGCAATCTTAAATATTTAAATTTTGATATAATCAGAAAAATTATTAAGAAAAAAAAATATTAAATTACTTGAACAAGAACTGTTGCACCAAGTCCACTAACCCATAGACAATGTAAAAAAGCAATTGATGTAAACCATGTAACTGATGGTGCACAATGAAAAACATGTGTCCATGGTTCAGATGACGGTATATGACAATAATTTTGATAAACTAATTAACGAGAATTCTGTTTTAAAATTTATTATACTAATTATACTTACATAAATAAGCACCATGAAGATAAAGGAATAAACATAACGGTGTAAAACATACAAAACCAGTAAAATAACGAAGATTTTTATCACCAACACAATTATCAACCCACTAGAAAGAGAAAATATTTAGATTTCGATTATAGGAATGGTATTGTCATCATTAATATTCTAAATAAAACAGAAGAATCCGTGTTTTTTTCCCCTCCCAATGGAACTAAAGATTAGTTCTTTCGTTCTCTACAGATTCATTTTTAATATTAAGATTTCCATAAACGATTTTGATGACTTCCTAATCATTCTGTTCAAGAGAAAAACAACAATTTGTTGAATTGAAATAAATTTTGAATTTCTTACACGAGAAAATATTCGTTACAATAAAGAATAATTTTTAATAGTATAGAAATTCAAATATTTACTGTTCTTTCTTTTTTATATGTCAGTACATAATTATGTCAACATTATAATATAATTACATAGCTTTCATATTCAATAAAAAATATTTTGTAGTACTAAAAAACAATTATAATTGTTCTGACATGAAATCTAGAAGCTTCATAAAACTCCTTTTTTTTGTCTACTATATAGAAATGTAAATATATCTCGTGAAACTTATTTGTGAAGCGAAGCAGTACGAAAATTTATATACATCAATGAACCTATTTACACACATCTATTAACAGTATACAATACAGTTCGACTATATGGGACAAAGATATTCCGGGTGTTCGGAAATGATTTTTGTCCTAAATAACTTTCATTCCGAACACCCTGTCTTTGTTTCCTTACGTCGGGAGATCTTTATGAACATCTGCTACAGTAAATCGTAATGAATATTTGGTATGAAATGTTTCATTCCTGTTAATATTAACTATTAAAGGATACATAGGAAACATTTGGTAAAAATTAATTACATCATTAAATCGTATTTTTAGATAGAATCGATAGAAATTACCAAAAAAGAAGTTATCTATATGCATGTAAACTGATCTATTGACTTAAGTGTTAGTCTCAGTCAAATATTTACTAGAAAACTAAATGATATGATGTGTAAAAATAATCTAGAGAAAAAGTTGTTAGTAGAATTCCTGTGAGATCAGAGAATATGGAATACGATCGAGGTTTCTTGCATAGCTAATGACTATATCGATGATCGAAGAGATTAATTAGAATATGTTACTGTATGTGTGAAAAAAAACAAGACAAAGTACAAATATTTCAAGCATATCTCTAATATATTTTTTGGTATTACAAATATGTTTCTCACATCTGTGAGAATGTAGAGAAAATTGTAAATATTTATTCGTATCTATGTCAATACTTCTCATTACGAGTGATTCAGTTATCAAAATTTACCGGACAATGATGATCAAATCTTGCTACACATCTTCGACATTGTCGACAATGTTTTGATCTTAATGGTTTTCGAGCAAGGCACCATGTACAATAAGTTTCATAATCAAATAGATTTTGTTCAACCAGTTGAATAATAATCTAAATGAAAAGGATAATTGTCATGTAGTAATAATTTTCGATTTATCTACTCGATTTTGTTGATCACGATTTATCTGTATATAGCCTGGATCACTTTTTATTGCAAGATAATAATTACTCCATGATAAATAAGTACATATAACAAGTCCAATAAATGAAAATGATATTATATGCACATCTAAATATTCATAATATAGATCAAATAATAATTTTATATTCAATTATATTTACATGGCAGAAAATAATATAAATAACTTGCGTAAAGACAAAATATGGATGCTTGTGCAACGGAAATTGGTAAATTTCGTGATAGATTTTCATCAAAAAACACCCTATTATAGAAAATATTGATATAAAAAAAGAAAATATTTATAGTTTATCTTACATCATATATCCATAACCAAGAAAAATAAGAATCAACATAATAATACCTTTATGAACAAACCATAGACTTAATTCCACCACACATGCAATAAATATCAGTACTAAATATGGAAAAAGTTTTGTTCCTAAAGTGCGAATTGAACGATCCACTTGTAACCATTTTGGCAGATCGGAATTTGCAATTGTTAATTGACTTATAAGCAGTATTAAATATCGTGTTTGCGGTGATTTAGCTGCAAATTCATATATATCTTCATTCTGAATAGTAATACAAAAAGAAAAAGAGATAGTTAATAATAACAAATAAAAACAAACATCAGCATTGCGTATATTAGTTTTTGCACCACAATCTATAAGTACACGAATTGCTTCGGTATTAACACTAGATACAGCATAATGAAGAGCCGTATATTTATTATTTGGATTTTGTTCGTTTACAGAAGCACCAAGTCTAAATAATGTCAAGACTTTAAAAAAGAATTCATTAATAATTAAATTTCTCTATACATTTTTCAAGGTAAAATAATTAAATATTTATCGTTTTATATAAATGCTTGCGGTAAAGCTTTTAGTCAAGATATTGCAATATTTATTTCATCTTACCTTATAAGTAATTGAGTTGGATCACGACTACAACAAAGAAAAAAAGGATTCAAAGATTTATTGGATAAAGATTTTTTACTTTTTAACTTTATGAGCAGCATGCATTAATGGTGTTAGACCTGATGTATCAGGTAAATTAATATCTTGTCCTTTGGCAACCAGATAAGCAACAATTGCTGAATGACCAAAAATACTTGCGAGGTGTATACATGAAAAACCTAATTTATGAAAAATAAATTTTTTAAATTAGTTCATAATCAATTTACCTTCGCCATCTACTAATAAAGGTTGAGCATCATAAGATAAAAGAAATATGACCATATCTAGTTTTCCATCACGTACAGCCCAATGTAATGGTGTTGAATTCAATGCACCACCAAATGCATCAATTTTTGCTCCTTTATTTATCAGATATTTTGCTATTTCAACTCGACTATTAATTGCTGCCCAATGTAATAAAGTTATATTATCATTGACCGGTGTTGTTGCTAATTGTGAATCAGCATCAATTAGTTCAACTACACGTTCATAGAATCCATATTGAACAGCACTATTTTATACAAAAACTATTTCCATTTCTTTTATTAAATTTTTCACATACGTGACTATATCAGTAGTATGAGGATCAGGTTTTGATGGATTATCTGTTGGATAATGTGACATATTATTTGAATTTCCGTTCGAGGTATTCGACTGGAAAGAAAAATAAACAATAAGAATGTATTAAAAATTTTTTTTGTTACAAATTACTTCTATTGATTTCATAGTATTATTTGTAAAAATTTCTTTTTTGTATTGTTGTCATCTCAACTTAAGGATAAGATTGTTTCGAAGGAGAAAAAAAAATACTTTGCAATAATATTAATCTATATAATAAGAATGATGAATCATTTTAGTTGACAAGAAAAGAACAAATAAAAAATTCATTCATTAACAAAGATTAATAAAAATCATTTTATTTTTCTTAATTTATTTGAAAATATTTCTAAAACATAAGATTATTCTAGAAAAAAATATCCTTCTATAGATTTAATATGATATGCTCATTTTTATTATAGAGGACACTAATGTATTAAAATACATATTACCATCAGATATGATTTGATTTTATCATATGTCCAATAGCGAACGAATATAAACGTATCAAAAAAGTCAGGTATCTTAACTATGCACAAAAGAAAATATGACATAATAAAAGTCAGGAAATTATCATACACAAAAATAAGGGATATGATGAGTAATTTAAGTTCAAATCATGTTTTGAAATTTGACTCATAGCAACAAGCCATTTAATTTGTTGTTGATCTCTATAATCTCTTTTATAACTTCAGTGTTGTAAAATTAGTATGAGATTTATGAATATATATAATTTTAATATGAAGTTTGATAGTCATTTTTTTAAATATGAGAAGAAGATTACGAACGGATATTCATGATAAAGTAGAATTAAGGGTATAATTGATGCTTAATTGAATATAGAAAAAAAGTATATGACAGGTTGATTACTTCACTGTGAAACATCTTGAAAAGTTTGCTTTTCTTTTTTTATTAGACTTTAAATTGAATATATTAATCTTAAATCATCCAATAAATTTAATCACATACTCTCGAGACTGACTCAGGATCATTGAAAGTTATTTAAAGTGACTCCATTCAAAAATAAGAGCATATTCAAGTATTATTCATATAAAATTGTATAACATGATTTTTAAACAGACATTTTTTCTTCATATATTTGATTTTCGTTATTGATTGAAGCAAGTAAGGAAATCGATTAATATAAGAAAACTAATTAACAACAGATGACAATAATAAATAGAATAGAATAGAAAAACAAAAACACAGTCATTCACTAATTATAAGATATATGTCTGTATTATTATTCTTCTTTAGTATGATAGAAAACAGATATTCCTAGTATAAACCTTACAGTTAAATTCACCAGCAACATCAAGGATACACTAGTTCGTATGCGGCAAAATATTACCAGTGGCGGATCTAGGATTTTGGAAGGGAGGGACGATCTCCGCTGAAAACTATTTTTTGAGTCCAATCGAAGTACTGTGAACCTATTTTTTCGTTCATTTTTGCTTTAAGAGATTTCCGAAGAGAGAGGGGCGATCGCTCCCCTCTAAATCCGCCAATACTTGAAACGATGCTACAGTCTGTCAATATCTTTTTGAAAAATTTCACTAAATCTAAAGATGGCGCTAGTAGATGGAAAAAATTTGTCATTTGTTAAATTAAAATAACCAATCGAATTAAAATCTTTTATTTATTTGTTTGTATCTTCCATAGATGATGAAAAATATCCTCCTATTCTTTTTTTAAATAATTTCATATCTTTACTACGAATAGTTCGTACTGCTGGTCCACAACGATGATTTAATTTTTTCATATAGTCCGGTGCTTGTATTTTCTCAGCTTGTCGAACAACAAATTGAAGCATACGAATAAATTTTTCGAAAGAGATTTTTGTATTTTCATCAGTTATATCAAATTTCGCAAGTAAATCAAAGATTTCACGATCATTAACAGATATACCTAAACCTTTACGTAAGAATAACGGTAGTGTTGCAACTGTAAGTTTACCATCTTGATCATCATCAAATTTACTTGAATAGAAAAAAACAACAACTAAAATTCCCTTAGAAAATCTAACAAATGATTCATTTACTTAAATCTTTGTTGTATATCATTTAATGTGAAAACATCATGTTTTATTAAACGAGCAAGTGCAAATATAAATTCATGAAAATCAATCATTTGATCGTTATTTAAATCATATAGATTGATTATATTCGAACATTCATCGGTTGTTTTCTTGAAATTTAATGCATTAAGTATACGTTTTAATTCATTAATTTCAATGAGTTGATTTGCATTTAAATCAAAGAAAGTAAATGTATGAAAAATATTTCGAACTGTTTCAGACATTAAACGTGGTGGAACAGTATTTATTAATTTATTCGAAATTTTCTTATGATGATAGGAGAGATTTGAGAAAGAATCTTCTAGATTTGTTGTATGTAGATTGGAAATATTTGTTTCATTCATTATAAAATTAATATTATATTCTTCTTCTTCTTTTTTTATTATAGATTTTTTAAAAAATTAAATCGGAAAAAGAGAATGTCATATCAACAGCCGCCATCATCGTAAGTTAATTTTTCATCAATATTAATTGATATAACTCATTTCTTTATTTTAGTTCAAATAATAATAATAATAATCTACCACCATTCGGTAAAATCTTTATATTTAATTAAAGCAAAGATTTTATTTCTTATTTATTTTAGACTGGTCAGTGCCTGGTCGAAATTTTAATAGTGGCGCTCCTCCACCTCTTATGGCGATGCCAAATAGGGTTTGTTTTTGAGTGATTATAAAAACGAATGATTTTTTTCTTTCTTTTATAAAATAGGATGATGTTCGATTACCATCAACGATGGAACGTGTTTTAAAATTTCGTGATAATCAACATGAAGAAGATCGTGTTACAAAATTACATAGTGGTGGTGGTCATCAAACAGATTCTGGCATTGATCAAAATGATGAATATGATGATGAATCAGATGAAGAAACTACTCCTCAAAATGGTTTATCACGAAAAGCAAAAAAAGAAGTCGAAAAACGACGGCGTCGTCGTGCTAAAAAGAAGACCAAATCTACTGCTGCTCCTCCTACTCCTCAACCTCCCATAGTTCCACAATCAACAAAATCCTCAGATAATTCTTCGAAAGAAAATGATAAGAGAAAGAAAACAAAAAAGCATGAATCAGATGATGAAGATGATCATACGAATGTTGAAATTGAATATGTTCCAGAAGATCTACCTGTGAAACGTGGCGATGGTTATTATTCACATTTTGTCAAAGTTTTCGAAAATTTTAAATTAGATCAAAATGGTGATGACAGTAAATTTGGAAAAAAACTTCTTGGCCCAAAAGCTCTTTTACCACGTGATAAAACAAATATTGATGAAAATGAAGATGATGATGATGAAAAAGAATTAAATAATCATGATAAAAAGAAAAAAGATGATGACGATGATGAACAAAATAAGAAAAAATCAAAAAAACAAATGAAACGTGAAACACGTTTTAGTGTAGCACAATTAAAACAACTTGTTATACGACCTGATGTCGTAGAAATGTTTGATGTTACAGCTAAAGATCCAAAATTACTTGTTCATCTTAAAGTAAGTTTACCTCTATTCTTTTCAAATAACTATAAAATAGTAATCTTATATTTTAGGCAACACGGAATACTGTTCCTGTTCCACGTCATTGGTGTGCAAAACGAAAATATCTACAAGGTAAACGTGGTATAGAAAAGCCTCCATTTCAATTACCTGATTTTATTCGTCGTACCGGTATTATGGAAATGCGTGAAGCACTACAAGAAAAAGAACAAAATAAAACATTAAAACAAAAAATGCGTGAAAAAGTTCGTCCAAAATTAGGAAAAATTGATATTGATTATCAAAAGTTACATGATGCTTTTTTTCGTTGGCAAACAAAACCTCGCATGTCTATACATGGAGATTTATATTATGAGGGAAAAGAAAATGAAACACGTTTAAAAGATAAAAAACCAGGTATTTTAAGTGAAGAATTACGTGTTGCACTTGGTATACCTGTTGGACCAACAGCTGATAAATATCCACCACCATGGTTAATTGCTATGCAACGATATGGACCACCACCCAGTTATCCAAATTTAAAAATTCCTGGTTTAAATGCACCTATACCTGAAGGTTGTCAATTTGGTTATCATAGTGGAGGTTGGGGTAAACCACCTGTTGATGAACATGGTCGTCCATTATATGGTGATGTTTTCGGTACAAATCAATTTGCTTATATTCGTAGTATGACTGAAGAAGAACATATTGATAAAAATTATTGGGGAGAAATTGAAGAAGAAGAACAAGAACAAGAAGCAGCTAGTTCATCAGATGAAGAAGAAACAACTGAAGATACAGGTCTTGATAGTGAATTAGCTACTGATGGACAATCAAGTGTACCAACAGCAACAGACCATACTCATCATCACGTACATCATCATCATGCTGCATCGGAACAAGAACAAATTATCCATCCAGCTGGCTTTCAAACACCTCATGGTAGTGAAGGTTTTGCTACACCTAGCGGTATGTATATTTGTTTTTCTAAATAAATTTCAAATCTATCTAAATTTTTTAGGCACACAATCATCCATACTTGGTACAGAAACACCACAACAGGTACGTTCATCTTTATTATTCATTAAATATTTCTTTATGATTTTATTTTAGTTCGAACTACGTAAATCTCGTTTTCATGCAGAAATGGATGGTGATGTAACACCCTCGCTATATACTGTTTTACCTGAAAAAAATGTTGGTGTTGGTCAATCATCATTATTATCAACGAATCGTGTTTATGATTTTCAAGCAATTCGAAAAGATCAAATGGGTCAATCAGGAACAAATCGAACTGATACATCTGGTGGTGTTGATATTGCTCTTAATCCTGATGAACTTGATATGAATAGTCAAGCACTTGAAGCACGTTATCGACAAGAATTAAATAATAAAGAAATAGCTAAAGAAGATCTTAGTGATATGGTATCAGATCATTTAAATAAAACAAATAAGGTTTGTTTCAATTTAAAAAAAAACAATATTTTTATTTATTATTTTCTTTTTCTTTCTAGAAGCGTAAAGGTAAACCAAATGATCCAAATGCCAAAGGCGGTGATAGTAGTGCAGCTAAAAATTTGAAAAAATTCAAATTTTAATTGGTCTGTTCTTTCTTTGTTTTTCTTTTGTGTCGGTCTCTTTTTTTTCTTGTATAAATTTTCGTGTTTTGTTCTCACCAATAAAACAGTCATACTATTGAAAAAATATTTCAAAATGTACAGCACCAGTCATATCTTCAATGTTAGTACTTTGCCGAATATTCTTTGCATAAGCACGACATATTATATTCAATAAAACATTTGATTCAACTTTAACAAATTGTGCCCAAACAAATGGTTGACGATAACCGGGTTGATTTAAAAATGGAAAATAATATGTTGGTATACCACCAATAGCTTTATTACCTAATATTGATATATGATCGACTTGATAAATAAGATCTTGATCGGTTGGATATTGTCCGAAGCATTTAATTAAAACAAAATTCTTCATAATCGGTTGCCATAAATGACGAATTTCAAGAGGTACTTCATCTTTCGATTGATAAGGTTCTGGTATCCAACCAAATACACGATTTATTTTAAGAGCAACACATGGACGACCTTTATTATAACCATAATTTTTTGGTTTCGAACATGGATTTGGACCTGGTTTAACATCAGTTGTTAAAAATATACATGAAAGACCTTGACGAAAATAATTTATTAATAATTCAGGTTTTATTGCTGAACAATCAATCTGTTGTTGATGATGTGTATCTACAAGACCAAAAGTTGAACCCCATTGATGTACATTATCAACCATTTCTGCTACTGATTGATGACCAGTTTTACGAGAAGTACGCCATTGTAAAAGAGTACGATCCATATACAATTGTGGTCGAAAACCAAGACCTACAAAACATAATGAATTATTTTTCTTCTATTCAAATTATTTTTTTCTTAACCTGGATTAATGCCATTATCAAATGCTAATGCACTTTCATTGCCCAATCTTCTTGGTGTTTTTTTATCAAGTAATAAAATATAAACAATGACAAAACTTGACGATATAACACCTAATATAAATAAAAAACAAGAATAATAACAACCAAGTTTTGCCCAATCAAGACCATCACGTCCACAAAAACGATTTGTTTCTCGATTCCATATATAATTTCGTATATTATATAAATAATCTAATCCTGTTAAAGGACTATCTTTAATACAAATATCATCTCGTATCTTATTTATTGGATATAATGGAGATTGAAGTGTTGTTCTTGGACGAACAATATATGAATTCGGTAAAGGTATAGTTTCAAACCATTCTTCATCTTGTTCCATTGATAAAATGTTTGTATTTGTAATGCCATCTCTCTGCCGCTGCTACTCTTCTTCTTTTCGTTATGACTATGAGAGTTGATGATCCGAAAACATCTTATCTTTTTTTTTTGTCAGTTGTTCATTGATCATATTACATCTATGCTCTTTTACTGCATACATGGAACAATAGTTTT